TCAAGTAGTAAATGTACTAGTTTTTCAGTCTTACTTCGTGTTCAAAACAAAAACACATTTAGCCCTGTTGTTTTACTTAAAACATTACCTTCTCATCGGAGCAAGTTAGCAATCAAGTTAGATTTCATGAAGCTTATACATTTTCTACTCATATTACACAGAAGATGTTTTGAATATAATTGCAAAATGATAACAAGAGGCCCAAAGGGCCTTAACGGTCACCTGAGGAATATATGTTAATAATCTGGGGATTTTAAAATGTTGCAAAAATGTAACAACACTTGTGCAGGACCGTGTGTAAAACATCTGTACCAAGTTTGAACATGATCCACCCAGTGGTTCTTGAGAGGAAGTCCCAAAATGTCTTAGCCAAACAGAGGCCAGGGTTGCACATTTATATAAAGCAAATCATGTTTTCATTTACAAGTTGAAATATAGCTTAGTAGATACATGTATAGCTAAAGTATACAAAAAATCAGATCAATTTCAAGTCTATACACAATCTTTTCCTTGCCTTATACAATAAGGCATCCAACTAAAAAAACTCACATAAAACAATGTGAAAAAATCTTGTGGTACTTCTGAGACAGGAATATATATGTATCAAGGCTGAGAAATGTAGTGTTACCACATGTATTGAACCATATTATACATGTAGCTCAGAACATAGAAGGTTCAGCGAGTAATAAGATCCGGGTTTGATGAAAGATCTGACTACACATTTGTTCTCGCCTATATGGTTGTCATAAACACACAACATGTCTTTATTAAAGATTAATATGTAACAAATATCAGAAGGGCTAATTTTTGACCAGATATTTTTAGTCTCACAAACTTTGCAGTCCTTTCCCTAAAGATCATCTATATGAAGTTACACTTTTGGTTCAGGACAACAAGATTTGCTAAGATTTAACAAATTCTACCCCTTTCTGCCCCTTAAATATGCCCCCATTGAGGCCACACCTTTTTCTATTGTAAACTTAAAGAAGCTTACTTTACCTAATTTTACTCCTTTTTTATCCCCACCTGGGGCCCCTATTGCAGCCATTACTTTTTTTCCTCCCAAACTAAATGTGTCTTATTACACAGATGCTTTGTGCTTAGTGTGGTTGTAACCCAAAAACATGGTCAATGCCATTAGAACCCATTTAAAAAAAAATATATAATTGACCCCTTTCTGCCCCCCATGAGGCCCCAGAACCCCTCAGACACTTTTTTTCAACTCAAAGTCACATGTTCTTCACTAGGGGACCCTATATACTAAATTTGGTTGAAATCCATCAACTTTGAATTTTGACCCCTTTTTAGTGCCCCCTGGAGGGCCTGTTTATGACCCAATTCGCAAACTTTGTAGACCTTGCTCTAAGAATCATTAAGTTTGAATTTTAGGAAGATCTTATACTTGGTTCATAAGAAGATTTTTAAAGATTTACCTAATTTTACCTCTTTTTGCCCCCTCCTGTAGCCCCTATTGGAGCCACACCCTTTTCTTTTGCAAACTTGATGCATTTTACTATAGGGATACTTTGTGCCAAGTTTGGTTGAAATCCATCCAGTGGTTCTTGAGAAGAAGTCGAAAATGTGAAAAGTTAACGACGCATGACGACAGACAAATCATGATGGCAATAGGTCACCATGAGCCTTTGGCTCAGGTGACCTAAAAAGTTAATGATGCACAACGCAGGAACTTAATCTGACTGTTGGTTTATGCAAAGAAGATTTTTAAACATTTACCTTATTTTACCTCTTTTCCCCCCTCCTTGGGCCCCTATTGGGGCTATGCCCTTTTTCTTCGCAAACTTGAAGCAGCTTCCCATGGGGATGCTTTGCGCCAAGTTTGGTCAAAATCCATTCAGTGGTTCTTGAGAAGAAGTCAAATATGTGAAAAGTTAACAATGCATGACGGACGACGACAGACAAATCATGATGGAAATAGGTCACCATGAGCCTGCTCAGGTGACCTAAAAAACATTTCTCATTGATAAATGCAACATTATTTCTGACCCTGTATTTTTTGCTTGTTAATTAGTATGACCCATAAAAGTCTAGAAATTACAAAATAATGCAGTTTTGTGACAGAAAAATGCCATCTCTATTAATACATGCCTTCATGAGAGACAACTTACATTTGTAAGAACACTACATGTACATTTTAATGTAAATACAAATGAAGGCTAGATGATTACAAGAATATTATTCTTTATTTATTATAGCAAAGTACATAACACAGAACTCGTTACAAAATATTTACATGTTGGTGATTATAAAAAATAGTAATCAAGTGTAATTGATATATAACTACCAAACGAACATATCACAGAAATACTGAGAATGGAATGCAACACATGTAGTACCAGGTTTTAATATAGTTACACAACACAAACGTAATGAAAGTGATGTGACAGGTTCCAATTACCACCACTGCTATCTAAAAGGATGCGATATAATGAGGAAATACAGATATCTTAAAAAAATCATGAAAACTATAATTTATGCCACGGCTTCTATGCAAAACAAATATTTGCTTAAGTGTTTGGTGGAACCATGAAAATTTTAACCATTGAAAAAAAATAAACACAACCTTTACAGTTAACCCTCCTAACTAAGAGGGAGACTTAATTTATGACCCAAATATTTTTATATCATAGATTACAAATCCAATTTGTCCACTACAAAAGACAAATGAAGCATGTTGTTCTAAGTTGTAAAAGTCTGCTTTCAGAAGTTCTTTTATGAAGTTCATAGAATTTCAAAAGTTGGCAAGTATGCATATATCAATATCAATCATTAAGATTGGATCAGTTTCAAAATACATAGGGAAACTATCCTCAAAATATCATTTATTAATATTCAAATGAAATGTTCGCACAAAGTGTTGTTTCCTTAACATTTTGGTTAAAGTAAGACTGGAATTCACACACTGATCATATGCACACATTTAATCAAAATCACTTGATAAATGGCTCACAGGTGACTTTCACTACGACAGCGATAACTCTTGCTTGTGATATGGTTTGTTTCAGATTTTGTTACATTGATAAAATATGAAATCAACACCAGTACAAAGACATCTTATCACAGACATGTAAACTTTATTAGGAGTAAGATGTATTTTCACTCCTGAAGTTAATGGTCCCTTTGACAAATACAGTATATAATAGCAATTTGTCAAAAGAAAAAACATAATTTCTCTGTCAAGGAGAAATTCCTATGTAATTGTACAGATCATCAAACTTAACGGCAAAATTGATCCCTAGTTCTAGATAATAATACAATTTCAAATTGGTATCTACTTAAAACTGATCAGAAGTTATATTTTGGTTTCAATAATTGATGAAATGACATCCCTTACAAATACCTCTAATCTCTAACATAGATTACAGCTATTATGAACTAATAACACCATTTCTGACCTCCCCCTCCTCCTTTCTACTCTCACATAATCTTATAGAGTGAAAACAAGGGAAGTAACCCTGGTAGATCCGCTTATAACATAACCGGAAGAAACACTTCTCATTGTTTAGATCTCCAGATATTGAGCACCTTTAAATAAATACTTTAGGACTGTTCTGTAACATACATCATACATTTACATTGTTGCTTCAATTGATAAAAGTCAACATTACAAATAAAAACGAGTATTTGATCACAATTTCTGAGAATATAGGACACACTATGACATCTATTTAAAAATCACAATAAGTTAGATTTCGATTATATCATCAATATTTTAGCATAAGAAACAAACACTGTAAGATGACTCACTGGTATATAGGTGTTATAACTACAATTTTACGAAAATTTTGTTCAATAAAATAAACGATCTATAACACTTCCAAATATTGATGAAATACCTACTAAGAATGTCACCTCTAATAAAATATGTCTCCTTAAAAAGTCCTCACTACTTAAAATATAACATCTAAACTCTTCTATAAGAAAGGTCATCTTGGTTACTGAAATTTTCACTTTCAACAAAAACATATTTACAAAGCATTTGAAATGTCGCATCAAAAATCAACAACAGAATCTCAAGAGAAATCTTACATGATACAAAATTGTCATTGAATCAATTTCTAGTACCACATTTATAAATAACTAAATGATACCTACACAAATATAAATAGTTATCACAAACCCTGTTCATTATAACACAAAGGACCTTTGCCAAGTTTCCATTTCATAGCAAATAAAGGTAACATTTTCAAGATTTTTTTTCATTTTAATGAGCTTCTTGCAAGGAAAAGGGAAAAACTTTGTGAGGAGTTTCAGAAATTTCATGAAATGATAACAAATGTATATTTCCATTTACTACATACATGTAGATAAACTTACATGCGTTCTGAAAACATTGTCTTTTCAGCAGTTATAAAACCTAAATTTGGAATAATCTCGCTCATATACCTCCTTTGGTTGATGTCATCCCTCTTTTGAATGAAGTCAGCATGCTTTTGAATGAAGTCAGCATGTATCCAGTGTAAGATTCCTTTAAGTTATGACATCACATTTGAAAAAATAAGAGTCTTCAAATAATTACAGCTCAACAGACATATGCTGTGATACTTTCCAAAAAGTATAAACTTAAACTAAGGTTTTATTATTAAACAAATAGCATTGGTAAAAAGGAGGGAGCATCAACACCACGGATTCCGTAGTTGTTTGAATTGATTTATGTTGACATGGCTATCCGTCATCAGAACAAAGTAAAACCTAATGGTCTATGGAGCTGTATTAGGATACCTCAGTATCCACCTTGGGTTCCTCTACTTATACATGTACCAACCATACCCATTGGACATCGGACCACTCCACCTTTTTTGTATTTTTTCCATTAGTGTTATAGAACAACTTCCACATTGATCTAGTTTTGATAATCAGATCGAGCAACTACTAACTAACTAACAATACAACAGAATAGAAATTCACAGACAAATGATGTTATGAAAATATTTCATGAATAACCTTCAGGAATCATTTTCTCTGGAGTTGTGTATTATGGATGTCGTAGATCAAAAACCTTGAATTGTAACCAACACCTCCTTTGGATTTCCTAATACACAGATGGACAGTTAGACAATAATGGTTTATTCTATAGAAAACTCTTATTCTGACCAAATATATTATGACTGCTGTAAATTATTCATGATCCAAATCAAGGTTCCAGTTGCACAAAGCTTAGTTAAAGTTAATCAGTGATTAAAGAAAATTTTCAAATATGAATGAAACAAAATTGCAAAATTTCTTTGTCATTTCACAACTGTTGATTTGTAGAGACCAGTTACAGTGACATTTTTTTTGAGTGTCAGTTTGCCTTCTAAAGTCCAAGTTTTCTCACTAACTACTGGTTAACTCTAACCATGCTTTAAGCAAGTCAAGACAGCAATCCTGTTCTTAATCAAAATGTCACAGATATAGTATTATCTTTTGGCTGTTTAGCTTTTATACAAAATTATTACATGTATTACCATACATGTAGATCATCTATCTAAAACTATGTGTACATCAAATATAAATATCACATTTTTGCATTTGAAAATTATCTTAAGACAAGAATTTTATCCTAAATTTTCAAACACAAGCTTCATCAAAGGAACAAAGACCATATAGATTTAGAAGACTGGTTGATTTTACTATATTACAGATATTTCATAATGTGCTGAATTTATGTTCCTTTCAAGGAAAACCTTAGAGTAGTATCTATCTGGATGGCTATAAAGTATATATTAGTATGTATATATATGTATATTAACACCTTGAGCAAATTACCTGTTTCCCTAAAACAATACTGATTGTATCGCTGGAGGTTGGCTGATGGTGATAAGAGCTTTGTCTTTTTGTCTTTCTAAATGTCAAGGAATCATTGCAATAAACACAACAAAACCCATAAACAATGTAAACAGGATGACAGGTGTGAAGAAACTCCAAACAGGCCACAAGCCGACTGTAACGCTGAAATATAATCAATACAATGAGATAATAAAATCAGTAACCATTATCTTAACATTACACCAATGAAACACCACATTTACATGGAATACAATTGCAGAGGTAAACCTAGTTTCTGATAAATCTTCCATTCATCAGAAAATTTTATCTAAATGGCTCATTGCAGAAAACAAATCACTCATTATAAGTGTCTCTTGCTATGGTGCCATGTATACAAGATGAAGGATATCACTTACCACAAACCATCTATTATAAGTACTGCCTATTGCTATGGATACAAGATGAAAGATATTACTTACCACATACCACCCATTATAAAAGCTCCTGTTGCTATTGGTATAAGAGTTGGATAGAGTTTTTCCCAGTCGTCCACATCAATCTTCTTTATGGCAGATAGGTACACAATGAAAAAAAGTGCTATACACACATTGATCACAATGAGGATAGCTCCAATATTGAACCAATTTCTGCAAGGAAAGATCAACTTTTTGAACCGTTTCATTAATTGTTTCCTTTTTGTACAAGAGACACAAATTCTAGGAATATATTCACCTGACAATGTTTGGCTGTAAATGCCTTTTCCAATTCATTATTCAAATAATTCAAATAAAGAGTTGGAATAAACAAACCAAGAAATTCAGTGTTTAATACATTAAGATTTTAATAAAAAACATGGTATAATACTCCTTGATCTTGGATTAACCCCAAAGTAGTGAAGTTTGCAATGATTCTTTGTGGATTAAGAAGCTTTACAAAAACCTTAACTAACAAGAGTATCTGTGAAACTGATGAATACAGCTTTGATGGAAACAAATTTTAACAAAGTGCAATAATTCTCTTAGTATGGAACTGCAAGACACGACTTTTCAGTATCCTAGTTTAAATGCAAGTAAAGTTTTGCTCTGGGCATCCTAATAAATGGCAATAACTCTGTAATCAAAAGGTTGTGGGCCCTGGGGTTCATTATCATAGTTTAAATGCAAGTAAAGTTATGATCTTGACACGAAAATAATTAAAAAAGGGCAATAACACTGTAACTAAGAGGTTTTGGTCCCTGACTTTGGTACTTTGCAAATTGTCTTAGTATGACCAATGTGTACACAAAGTTTTATCATCCTAATATAAATGTAAGCAATTCAGTGCTATGCTCCAGACACAAAAAGCTGCATGGAAAGATGGATGGACAAAGCAGTTACTTAACATTCAACAAAAAATTTTCAAAAAGCATAAAACATTCCTTCATGATGAGTTTCAATACCAAAAGGTTGAGCTCTAAAGATTGCATTTTTTAAATGCATAAAATACATATGTACATATCAATAACAGAAAGGCTTCTGGATATGTACTTTATTTTCAAGTTTTGAGGTGGGACACGTAACATATCTGTACACAGGTGGACTGATATTAATGTACCTGTTGACTCTTGGATCATATCTACAGGCAATGTAAAAGTCAGTGTAGTAGAATATTGCTATCGATCCTATAAACCACAAGACATTCTGTAGGTTGTACTTGGACCCTTTCTTTTTCCTGTATTTCCCAAACCTTTCCTCAAACTCCTGTCTGGTCTCTTCATCAAAATGTGTACTGAGTTTGGAATGATCTGGAACTTCTTTTTCACTCTCAGGTATCATTGCATCTGTCAGAAGTAAGAAAAAAAAATCATATAGAATAAGGGGCAGCTATTCTCAGTAAAGATTTTGATAGTCAATTTTTCTTTATTTATTTACCCTGGTATTTATTTTTTTAATGAAAGTATCTACGTTAACAGTACCATAGTATGTCATAGGTGTGTCACAGGAATAAGTGAAATATTTCTATATAAAGCATACTACTATTGCGTAACACATACATACTGAAGACTTCTCATATGAATCTATGACACTAAATGTAAAATGAGCTCTGAACACACATAACAGAGAGCACGGTCAGCTATCTGTGCACTCATGAAACAGCTACTGACTCTAATTTTAATCCTAGCACTTCATGTTACTCTTGATAATCTAAGCACAAAAAGCTATTCTATTGCTAAACTTAGCACAAAAAGCTACTCTGTTACTAATCTTAGCACATAAAGCTACTCTGTTGCTAATCTTAGCAAATAAACCTATTCTGTTGCTAATCTTAGCACATAAAGCTACTCTGTTGCTAACCTTAGCACATAAAGCTACTTCATTGCTAATCTTAGCACATAAAGCACTCTACTTTGTTAAAGGGGAGGAAATTTTGTAAACAGCATGCTGTTTAAACTATCTTGACATTGCAGACAATACTGGACATGGATAAAATGTAAGATGGTGTGGTCATATGTTTACATGATAATGTAATCATACTTGCAATAAACACGTCCTACTTCTGACCAATCATTTAAAGTGTGCAAGTTTAGAAATCCAATAGAATAAATAACAGTCCTGGGGTTTAAACATGATTACATTTTAACCTGTTCAATGTTTTCACTTTATGTTGAAGTTGCCCCTAAAACTTATCTTTCTGTTTTAACATCAAACTTGGCCTATCATGTTTTAGAAAAAAGGGAAACAATTAAACAGCTGCAAAAATCTCCCAGTATACATTATGAAATATTCAGTGAGAGTATCACAATTACACCAGCATCAGAGTAGGTTTCTAAATTTATTCAGTCACTGATGATCAGTTTTGCTGTTACCGAGCTTCTTCAAGACAACTAACTTGATTTTCCACATCTGAAGTACACATAGATCTTTTTTTAAACTCAAAGAAATGTGTGTCTTTTTCAATGATGACAAGATGGTATTTTCTGAGGTATCAGAGTAAATGACAGACAATTTTTTCATCAGATAGAAAAAAAATAATGACAACTATCTTATTATAACATTACACTACTCATTACTATGTTTATATGTATATCACTCCTCAGAAAACATTGTATGGAAGATGTATGAATGTAATCACACAATCCATTGTTTATACATTATGTGCATAAAATTGTCCGAGTCCATCATCAATACTATACTGCAGTCTGGCTCCATGATTATATATATATTTTACTGATCTTTTTTCAGTATATCAAATTTTGTTTTGATTGGGTTTCCATTTTCTTTTATCATCGACAATTCAGCGTTTAGCATTTGCATTTTCCATTTATCATTGATCGTTTTGTGCATGCATTTATAATCATTTGTGTTTTTCCAATCATTTTCTGTTTCATTTGTGTTTGAGTGAGAATGTTAAACAGTCGAAGGTCTGTAATTGGGCATAGGAAAACATATCAACCAATCCAGTGAACAGATACCTGTATACAGCTCATGACTGATGGCACGGAAGTAAATCAAACACAAAGCCTGTCATTTAATTTTTAACACAACCACAAATCTTTCAATAAAACTTAAGTGAAAAATTCATGAAATTCGTGAAATTTTCATGTGAATTCAGTACATATTTTAACATTTAACAAGGATTTGGTAATTGACAGATAATGTCCATCAATTACATTTTGAATCCAATCATAGAAGTTGTTAACTTAAAGGCATGAAAAGGTAAGGCAAGTATCAATACTTGAATCATTGAAATTGAAATATAAAAATATATATTACAATACATATATTTTCACCTGTATTTTTGCATATACAAATGATACACAGATTTACATTAAGACTTAGGCAACCACATCATGTGGTCCACATGATATGCATGTACAGTATGTATTAATGCTGTATCACCTTTAAGCACAGCCAAATGTGATATATCAATTTAACTCAGCACAGATTGTTGAAAATTTTAGCGTTATTTATCATATTTGGATATATCTGGGTAGTTTCAGGTAAGTTTTGTGTATTTTAGGGTAAGTTTTGAGGATATTTTGGTGGTTTATGGGTAATTTTGGGTATTTTGCCACACTGGCTGTGATATAGTGACAGATAACTTTCATTTTTTTATCTCATCCCAAGTCACAAGCTGAACTCCTAGAGGTTTAATATGATATAATACATAACCTGCATTTCCGAAAAGTATCGAATGATAATAACAAAATTACAAAAGATACTTGGTGTGACCAATTATTTCTCTAAAACGGTTAAAGCATCCAAATTTTGGAGCGTACGATTTTATGTACTTTGAGTTACACATGAAACTTAACAATGATAGGTCTACAAAACAGTAAATATATTGTACATGAATACGCCTATCCATATATGTCTGATGCATACGTACATCAGTTATAAGATATAATCCTATTAAATTCTTACTTCTGTAAATACCATTAGAAATCACGACACTGGCAATACTAGGACATTGATCCGTCAAAACGTGATTCGACACATCCGATCCAAACCGATAAAATACAGAAATACATATTTAAGTCAATCAAAAACCTGTTTAAAATCAAGTTACCAGGATCCAAAACTTCAAGGTATTTCTCTGCGATCTTGTGTTGAACTCGGCGGCGGATTTTTTCCATTTCCTCTTCGCTAGAAATAAGAAGTGGCTCATTTTCGTGTTCGGATGCCATCATTGTTGACGATTGTTTCTACATCTCTCGAGCGTTTGGCACAAACGTCATTAAAAAATGGTAAATATCAACGTCGATTACAATTTCACTTTACACACGCTTACCAACAAATCTAAGCGAACCAAATGTCAAAGAAACAACATGTACATTTTAAAAGGGTTTGGCCACGATTTTTCATGTCACATTATTTCAACCTAAAATGGTGCAATAATATTTATAGTCCGCGATATCCCGTCTCGCGTGCTTCGTCCCCATTTTCTGGTGGATATGCATGAATTACAGACTTTCCAGTTCCCCTCCCCAACTGTTATTCACTACGCCTATTTTCAAAACTATTTCGGGTTAAAATGGCAAAAATGTCATCCAAAATTTCCATATCGAAAAAAAAACAACAACAAAAAACATAGCCCCAACAGGGACGTCTCTGGCCCCAAACGCCATATCGCCCGGAACCACTTCGCCTGAAAAGTTATAACGCCTCAAAAACTTACTCGCCCGAAAAGATAAAAATAAGAATTTTATGGTGCACACTTGTAAGCTCATTTAATTCAATGATGGCATATCCAGTTCGTTTTAATAATTATGGCAATGAGTACATGGACTACGCAATGATTCCGTATTAAATAAGCCTTCATATGATAACAAAAGACACAGGGGAGGTAACTCTTCCATATTTGTTGCAAGAGTTCTCGTTTTCATCAAGATTCAACTGGCACTTTGATTTCGTTAGATTTGAAAATTTCATTTTGGATTTCCTAATTTGTTTGACTAAAGAGATAGAATTTTTGGTCGTAATATAATGAAGACTGATACTCGGTTCGTCTCCACACTGTCAAATCAACATTAGCTTGATGTGCACAAGTAGATCAAACTGAAGCTACTTCAAAGTTCTATCCGCTAACATGACAAAATAAAAATAAATAAACAAATAAATAAACTAATAAACACAGAAGAGCTATATAGTTAAGAAATCACCTATCCGTTAGGTTACGACCTCCCGAGTTACCAGGGCCATGCCCAGAATTGGTATCAAAGACCAAAAAGAAAATTTAAAACATGAAGCTATAGTAAAACCAAGTAAAAATGTAAAACATGTAGGCAATGTTAAAGTAAAAAGATAATGTAAAAAGAAGAGAGATGATGAGTAAAAACAAGAAAATCATGTAAAAAAGAAGAAGATGAAAAAAAGAAGAAAATGTTAAGTAGAAAGAAGAAATGAAAAAAAAAAAAAAAAAAACCAGGAAAATAGAGTACAAAGAATTGAATGTAAATTAAAGATGATGTTAAAACAAGAAAAAAAATATAAATTTATAAAAGCTGAGGATAAAAAAGAAGAGGATAAAAAAGGAGATAATAAAAAATAAGAATATAAAATAAAGATGAAGGAAATGAAAACAAAACAAGTGGAAAATATAGAGCAAGAAGATAACGTTAAAGGAGAGACGAATTCGGATAAATCATTTTGAGTTGTACAAATAATACTACTATCGAAACGAAATATCTTTAATGATGTGTCGTGTTTTTTTTTTTTTTTTTTTTTGTTTTGTTTTACATATCCTCTTGAGCAATATGCACCCGAAACATCTTTCTCCGCCTCAAATGCATTTTTGACACACAGCGCACGAATGTGCGATTCTGTCGTGGTTCATATAAATTCAGGAATGACTTATGAATAAGTGTGGGATAGGATTTATTTTCAAATATACTATATCACGGATCCGTAACAATAACTGAAAATTGTGTTTCCCGGTCCAAACTTACACTCTGTTGTAAAACATTTGATTCTGAATTATTAAATGTACATTTGAACATTTCTGAGATAAATAGTGTTATATCTGGATCACTACCTACAATGCATCTTTATACCTTTCCACATTGTTAATATTCCTGCGAGAATATTTCTATTATTTGTCATCTTGTGTTGTCTTATATTTCTTATCTCAATTTCAGTGATTTGGGATCGGTCTTTCTCGCCATATCTTTCTAAACAACGTCAAACTTTTATGATAGATTACAAGTATATTGCACCTGATAGGTAAATTGACAGATAGTAAAATACAAAATGCTAAAATATAAGGACTCTGGGGAGTTTTGCTTTCTTATATTGAAGTAATTAGAACTGAAGAGCGTAGGCTTGCCCAAAGTAGGATATAAGTATACCACGGTCTTGAATCTGTCCATGTCGCAAATTCAATGTTTCTTGTTTCGAGTCAAATGTTTTATTTGCTTTCAAATATTATGCTAAAACATTCAAACATCAAATTTTCGCTGAGATGGATGATGTTTATTGATCATATACCCATTCTAGTAATACACACCCAACGAACAATTATTTATTATCATCCAGTACTAATATTAGACCATGCTGTCGATATTACTTACTAGATTTTATATATATATATGTCCCAGTTGCTTTCGTATCATATTTATGAATTGCAAGTAGTAAGATGACAACGGAATGTAATTAAATTGATGTGAAGGTTTTGGAATATAAACTCGGGGTACTTTATGTGTTATGTTGATCAAAGCATCGACCAGTTTACAGACAGTTACTGTACTCTCTTAAGTTATGTATTTCTAAACCCGTGATTCTTATAATCACCTTCAGATTAATAAAAACAATATCAACTATAATAAAATAAAAACTATAAAGATTGCATTTAAACTTTTAAAACATGAATAAAATATATATAATTTCAGGTAATGCTAAATTTCATTTTCATTATCATTCTGTATATACACTGTATAATGAAAAACACAACTTTCTCAGAAATAGATCAACACTTCCAATGTCAATGAATTGCAATTCAGATATTGTAGTCCGTGTATTACCTGTTGGTGATCTTCGTGTTCCGATAGGTGAACCTTTTGCCTGGAGTCGTCGACGATGTGTGGCACCAGTAGCTGTTGTACTTACGTGTTGTGTCCTGATCTGGTAACTAAAGTTTTTTAGTTCCTACGCTATTTAATTTTTAAATCTTTATGTATGTGGAAATCGATGATTTTTTTAAAGATCTATTTATGTCCGTAATTACAGTATCTGTTTAGACACGTGGTTAAAACAGATATCAAGTAAGATGGGATGATTTTATTATGAACTGGGATAAATGAGAGGGTATTTAAAAGACAAATATTATTTCATGTACACGTTGATATTTTGGACATTGTAATACAATTAACGAAGGAGACAATTTTTTACTTTTTCGTAATTGTACCCAAGTATTATGTTATATTAAAATGCACGTTTATCTACTGCTCAAATGTCGGTAAGCGGCTGGTTTTTCTTAACGGGTAATATTCATATCATATGAAGAAGATAACGTTAAAGCAGATACGTTCGTGACGTTTGAAGTGTTATTGTATGTTACCGCTGTATAAGACCTAAATTTGACCAACAATGTATAATAATTTCTCTACTTCGACTAATTCGGATAAATCATTTTGAGTTGTACAAATAATACTACTATCGAAACGAAATATCTTTAATGATGTGTCGTGTTTTTTGTTTTTGTTTTTTGTTTTGTTTTAAATATCGTCTTGAGCAATATGCACTCGAAACATCTTTCTCCGCTTCAAATGCATTCTTGACACACAGCGCACGAATGTGCGATTCTGTCGTGGTTCATATAAATTCAGGAATGACTTATGAATAAGTGTGGGATAGGATTTATTTTCAAATATACTATATCACGGATCCGTAACAATAACTGAAAATTGTGTTTCCCGGTCCAAACTTACACTCTGTTGTAAAACATTTGATTCTGAATTATTAAATGTACATTTGAACATTTCTGAGATAAATAGTGTTATATCTGGATCACTACCTACAATGCATCTTTATACCTTTCCACATTGTTAATATTCCTGCGAGAATATTTCTATTATTTGTCATCTTGTGTTGTCTTATATTTCTTATCTCAATTTCAGTGATTTGGGATCGGTCTTTCTCGCCATATCTTTCTAAACAACGTCAAACTTTTATGATAGATTACAAGTATATTGCACCTGATAGGTAAATTGACAGATAGTAAAATACAAAATGCTAAAATATAAGGACTCTGGGGAGTTTTGCTTTCTTATATTGAAGTAATTAGAACTGAAGAGCGTAGGCTTGCCCAAAGTAGGATATAAGTATACCACGGTCTTGAATCTGTCCATGTCGCAAATTCAATGTTTCTTGTTTCGAGTCAAATGTTTTATTTGCTTTCAAATATTATGCTAAAACATTCAAACATCAAATTTTCGCTGAGATGGATGATGTTTATTGATCATATACCCATTCTAGTAATACACACCCAACGAACAATTATTTATTATCATCCAGTACTAATATTAGACCATGCTGTCGATATTACTTACTAGATTATATATATATATGTCCCAGTTGCTTTCGTATCATATTTATGAATTGCAAGTAGTAAGATGACAACGGAATGTAATTAAATTGATGTGAAGGTTTTGGAATATAAACTCGGGGTACTTTATGTGTTATGTTGATCAAAGCATCGACCAGTTTACAGACAGTTACTGTACTCTCTTAAGTTATGTATTTCTAAACCCGTGATTCTTATAATCACCTTCAGATTAATAAAAACAATATCAACTATAAAGATTGCATTTAAACTTTTAAAACATGAATAAAATATATATAATTTCAGGTAATGCTAAATTTCATTGTATTACAATTAACGAAGGAGACCATTTTTGACTCGTGCCTTGTCCGGGCCTCGAACCCGAGATAATGTTGGTGTTGTTGGAGTATGAATTAACACAATGTATCATATATAGTTTTGTTGTTGGTCCGAAGGTTCCAGATTTGAATTACCTGTTGTAATTGTACCCTAGTTTTATACGTATATGAAAATGTACGTTTAATACTGTTCAAATGTCGGAAAGCGTCTGATTTTCTTAATGAGTAATATTCATATAATATTCTCGGTTTTTACGAACCGAATATGATGCATACAAGTGTGTTATACCAATCTCTCACATTGAACAGA